AATCAAAAAATCAGCTGGGCGTGGTAGCACATGCCTGTAATTCCGGCTACTCGGAAGGCTGAGGCGGAAGGATCGCCGGAGCCCAGCAGGTCGAGGCTGCGGTGGCCGGGAGTGGTCACTGCACTCCAGTCTGGGCGACAGAGTGAGACTCCAACTCAAAAAAAGTAAAAATAATAAATAAATAAATAAATGCTTTAAATAAAAGTAATATGATGAAGATAGTACACGTTCCATCTATCACGTGCTGAGCCAAGCCTAGTTTCAGCTCTCCTGCTAAGAGGTCTTATGTTTCCTGTTTTAACAGAGAAGGAGACCTGGCACAGTGACTCAAGCCTGTAATCCCAGCACTTTGGGAGGCCAAGGCTAGAGGATTGCCTGGGTCCAGGAATTCGAGACCAGCCTGGGCAACATGGCAAGACCTCTACAATAAAAAAAATAAAAATTAGCCAGGCGTGCTTGCGCATGCCTGTAGTTCCAGCTACTTGGAATGTTGAGGCTGTGACCAGCAGGTCGAGGCTGCGGTGGCCATGAGCATGCCACTGCACTCCAGCCTGGGTGACAGAGTGAGACTCTGCCTCAAAAAATAAAAAATAAATAAAGAAGGAAACAGCTGCAGAGGATTGGGAAACTTAGCAATATCATAGCCAGGAAGTGGAGAAGCTGGAATTTGAGCCCTGAAGCACTTTACACTTGAGATTTATCCCAGTCCCTACTGAGAAGCTTTTTTTCCTTTTAATTAACTAATTTATTTTTAACGAGGTCTCCCTATGCTGCCCAAGCTGTTCTTGAACTCCTGGTCTCCCGAAGTGCTGGAATTCCAGGCGTGATCCACTGTTCCCCCACCCCTGCCTTGACAATCTTTTTTTTCATTCTTGTACAACACCTAGCTTGGGGCCTGACACACAACAGGCATTCTGTAACTGTTTATTGACTTAAGAGGAACATACAAGGGAGACGTCATGAGGTGTTCGATGAACAGCCAACATTGAAGATTAGATCCCAGCATAGAGTCCAAGGCTCGCTTGCCTCTTTCCAACCTTGAGACTGTGGGCTTCCACATTCCCACCTCAAAACGGACAAGCACAGACATACTTCATACTTCACACACAGATCAGCCTCATTTTACAGATGGCTGAGGCACAGAGAGGTTAAGAAAGTTGTCCTGGCTGGGCGATGTGGCTCATGCCTGTACTCCCAGCACTTTGGGAGGCCAAAGCAGGAGGATCCCTTGAGCCCAGGAGTTTGAGACCAGCCTGGGCAATATAGCGAGACTTCATGTCTACAAAAAAAAAATTAGCCAGATGTGGTTGTGCATGCCTGTAGTCCCAGCTACTCAGGAGACTTGAAGTGAAAGGATCACCTGAGCCGGGAAGGTCAAGCGGGCAGTGAGCTGAGCCATTGTTCTCCAGCTGGAGCAACCCGACTCCAAAAAAAAAAAAGAAAGAAAGAATGTTGCCCAAAGGAGATTCCCACAGAGCTTCGCTCCCTTACTCCCTGGAAGAGCTTGTTGGGTTCCTTGGTCTCTCCCTCAGCTTCCTGGGACCAAAAGCACAAATGTTTGGGGACCTACTGTGTACTGAGTGAGCTGTCAAGAGGCTGAGGATCCGGTGAGGAACAGGAAAGCACATGGTTCCTGTCCCTGGAGTTGAGCTGAAAGCTCTGGGCCTTAGGACCACCGGGGAGGGGGCACTTGGCTTAGCCTGGTTGGAGTTAGAACGTGCTTCTCCAAGGAAGTGACTTTTAGTCTATGGCTGATACTTGTATAGGACGTCTGGAAGGAGAATGTTGAGGCTGGAGACTCAAGCAGAGATGGGCTTCTACCCTGGACTCTGCCTAGGGGTCCCCTGAGGAACTGAGGGTGACCAACACTATCAGAAAATATGCAGGTTAGAAACACTGAGTGTGGCTGGGCTTGGTGGCTTAGCCTGTCATCCCAGCACTTTGGGAGGCCACGGTAAGAGAATCGCCTGAGCCCGTGGGTTCGAGACCCACCCGGGCAACTTGGTGAAACCTCGTCTCTACAATAAATCAAAAATTAGCCAGGCGTGACAGCCCGTGATTGTTGTTCCAGCTACTTGGAAGACTGAGGTGGAAGGATCGCCAGAACCCAGCAGGTCGACGCTGGGGTGGCTGTGAACATGCCACTGCACTTCAGCCTGGGGGACAGATACTCCAACTCAAAAAAAGAAAAGAAACATTCAATCTGAAATCTGAAGTTGGGTGCTTCCCCCACCCCCCCCCAACCCCGCTTTAAGAGGCCAATGTGGGAGGATTGCTTGAGCCCAGGAGTTTGCGACCAGGCTGGGCAACAGAGTGAAACCTCATCGCATACAAAACAGACAAACAAAAAAATTAGCTGGGCATGGTGGTGCGCGCCTGTAGTCCTAGCTACTTGAGTGGGAGGATGGCCTGAACCCAGAAAGTTGAGGCTGCCGTGAGCTGTGATCGTGGCACTACACTCCAGCCGAGTGACAGATGAGACCCCGACAAGGAAGGAAGGAAGGAGGGAAGGTGGCAGGGAAGGAAGGAAGAGCAAGGAAAGGAGGGAGGAAGGAAGGAGAGAGAGAGAGAGAAACATTGAGCCTGGCTTCTGCAGGCATCCTCTCTCCTGGAGATCCTGCACGAAGGCCTGACCTCTTCAAGCTCCAGGCAAGGACTCCTGATTTCATAAGCCAGGTGGGGGCGACAAAGGAACAGAAGCCAGTCCAGGGCAACGAGGAAGTCACTGTCACTCCAGTCACTCCTGCCCCGGCTGGCCTGGGGGCACTGCCAGTTCTTCAGTAATTTAAAACCCTCCTCTCACTTCCCCACTCCGGACACTGAAGAGCTTCACGCTTGTATCTGGGGCTGCCGTGCTTCTCTGGGACTCTGACTGTGGGTAAGTCATTTTCCCATTCGAAGTCTGTTTCCCCACCTGTAAGACTGACATTGCCTTCTCCAGCGTTCCTGCCAGGCTGTCTGTCTACCTGTCTGGTGTGATCTTTTTTTTTTCATGTGTACGACTGCCCTTGGGAATAAGGTTTCGATTTTGAATCTGAGTCTTGTGCTAAGAGGAATAGGAGTGGGACACCTACTGTTTGTCTCACTCGGGGTCCCCTGCCAAGCCCTCCGACCTAGAAACCTGCCATCTGGGCTCCAGAAGTCATTTCTCTCTCCTCTGCAAAACCCAAAGCCAAGGGGAACTGTGTCTAAGCCAATGTGATTGTCAGATCTCAGGCCATTATTCCCTCTGGGTAACCATTTACTTTTTTTTTTTTTTTTTTGAGTTGGAGTCTCATTCTGTTGCCCAGACTGGAATGTA